CTTCCTTTTCCGGCTGATATACCTGTAGAATCCCTTTTTATTATTCTTTGCATCCCTAGCCAAGTTAAGCTCCAGCTGCGCCTTCGCAGAAGTAGTTAAGGACATGTTGTTTACTTGAAAGGAGACTGGGCAGAGAAAGGGACAAACAACAACAACAAAAAGGAGAGTCCAGAAATGGAAACAAATGGAAAATAAGGTATATGGTCAGTCAGAGATCAACAGAAGGCACACCTCCCATGATCTGAGCATGGTTTACAAACAGCAGTGAAGCTCACCTGGTGACCCAAGCTCACTGGGACACCAGTGACAATCCCCTTGAACAACCCACTGGACTAGTCATCAGGTTTATATTCAGAAGGCTTGCGGGAGGGCAGAGCGAAGAGGATTATAACTGTACCCTAACACTAGGTGGGGTGAGGAGGATGATAGACATTTCAATTGCAGCTTAATGTAGTTAATAAGATTTCAGCGTGATAAATAGTAGCTTCATAACTGTGATTAATATTGCACAAAACAATACAATAAATTCCTCAGTGGTGTGTATTAATTTGATTTATTAGTTTTAGTAGTTTGTAGCTTAATCAATAAGCATGGTAGTCTCTTAAAAAGCTACATCTCCAGCCTGCAGTTTAAAGGGGGAGCATCACACTGCGAGGTAACAGGGAAGCAGCTTGCAAACTAAGTGGTTCACCCACTTCTTGTCTGTAATGGAGAGCAGCGGTGTCAAGGTCCCTGCAGGAGCTCCAAGGAAGATGAGAAGGACACAAGCCAGCGCTTTGAGGTATCTTGGAACAAGCGCACAGGAGTAACACTGGTCACTGAACCACTGACTTCAGTCACATCTGAAACTAACCTGTTCCATGATGGATTCAGAGACAGAGCAGCTCTTGTCACCCTCTGCTTCAGACCAGAAGTCCTTGCCCTGCAAAGGATAGTTAAAGAAAAGGGTGAAAGAAAAACATTTCCCATAAACCCATATCTTGCAGCAGTGCTCATAGGTCTGGCCACACCTCATAGAAAGTTACCTTTCTAGGGATGTATTTCTGGAAAGGGCTGCCCATCACGCACTGGCAGTCATAAAAAAAGGCTGAGAAAACCACAACTGTCCCAGCAAGAAGGGCCCTATTCACATGAATAAGGGGAATGAAACTCCTTCCTGCCACAGATGCATGGAAGACAGTGGAGTGACATAACCTATAAACGGGGCTTCAAAGCCAAGAGGTGGTGCTGGGGAAGGAAGGGATGACCCTTCATAGTGCCAGAGGCCAGAATGGAAAGCAGTGTTATATCACAGAGTTGCTGACTACCTACTGAGAGCAGGTGACCTGCTCGGGTCTGTGTGCACAGCAGCATATTCTGAAGTGAAACACCCAGCTGACATTGCAACACATCTGCAGGACTTGGGGCACACCTCCCCCTGCCTCACTCATGCAGAGATATATGTGTATACTCAGGCTTATTTCAATACTTTCCCAACAAACACCTAGGTACAGGGAAGGTTGGACAAAGTGTCATCAAAAAGCTTCTAGTCACATGAGCACAGCTCCACTAAGCCTCCAGGGAGGCCTGCTAGGAAGAAGGGAGAAAACAGGACGCAGGTTACAAGCTTCTCTGCCCCCACAGTGCGTGATCAGGGCTGGCAACCCTCAGCCCATCTTGTGGGTGGGCAGTGCCCAAGGGAAGAGGCATGCAGGGAGGGCAAAGAGCATGGTGCAGTGTGGCTTCCCTCACCCACTAAGGAAGGGCAGCTGGTAAGAGCACAGTGCTTCCTCCTCATCCAACCAGGCGTAGCTGCTGGGGGGGTGTCAGCCCAGCAGCCTAAGCACTAACATCTGCTGCAGGAAATCCCGGAGCAAGAAAGGTGTGAGAGCAACACAGCACATGCCAGTAACACAAGACTACCTAGCAAATGCCAAGGCAGGGAGGATCAGAACCCTGTTTGTGAGCCTTGCATTTGCTGCCTTAGATGCAACAATCCCACAGCTGCACACAGAAGTTGCTGGTGCAAGCTGGCTTCAACTTGCGGCTGACAGCAGGCAATACCTTCCCACCAGGCCTTCTTCAACCCAGGGCAATAACCTGGCTGCTGCACAGGTACCTTCTGACCAAAAAAGGGGGGAAGGCACCAAGGAGCCCAAACAGACGGCCTGCTAATCATCAAAGACCTGGGCTAGTGATGAATGGTCCTATTTCATAGTAACAACCTCTCACAACTGTTTTAAATAACTCAGTGCGCTGGTGAAGAGGGAGGAAGTGAAAGCAGAAATGAATTAAAACTCTGAAGGAAACCACAGTAATAATTTCAAGAGACCATGAATTTCACAACTTTTCAAAGGCTCTTAGAAGTCCCCAAGACCAAAGCACAATCTCAAATATGTCTAAAACACACAATGGCCTGCAGGCAACCATGACCTCTTTTTCCGTTTAGTTGTTGCATCAGACTAATGGCTTCCTGAAAACACAGGCCTAGCCTTTGGTGCTTTGCATTTTTCTCTGTTCCATTCAAATCCCTATTGCTGCTACTCACCTCTACCCTAAAGAGTATGCTGGCTGGGGAGAACCAGTCCTCTGCCCTCTTCTTCAGGACCTGACAGGGCTCTGGAACAGGTCAGGGTGACCCCTCTCCTGGGCTTGACTTTGCTGGAAGAGAGACAGATGTTAATTCAGGTTGGAGAACTTGAGACAGAATTCCTGAGATTAAGAGGAAAGTAGGGGTTTAGCATTAAGTCTGTGGCAGAACCTTGGCTTTGTGCAAACTCCTCAGGAGTTGTCCACACCAGCAACATTTCTGTAGGCTAGGCAAAACCTCAATTTGCACATATTTTGTTTGTGTATATAACATTTATTTTCAATTCAAAATAATTCAGCCCAAAACTAAGGTGTTCATGTTACAGCTAGTAAACAGTGGATATCCTCTGATACTAACTCCTGCCGAGTTAAACACCACTTCCTGAACCATCATGGCTTAGACTTCAGGCTTCCCGAAATAGTACTGAGCCTCTGCTACCCACATCCATCATAGCAACCTTCTTGGGCTCTACCAGTGTTGCCATCCCCACCCAGCTCTAGCCTATGCCAAAAGCTTCACATGGGACCACAGCATTACTCTACAACTGGTCAGATTAACCCATGCTGGCTAATTTGGGATGGTAATAGCCAGCTGACTTTAACGTGAGTACAAGCTGAATAAATCTCCCCATCTTGCAAGGTGCAAGAAGTTGCACAGTGCTCCGTTCACACCACACTACATACACGGAGGGGCAGATGTTCTCCCACAGTTCTGGCAGAAGTGTGATGCAACACAAGCCACTACAGCTGCAGGTTGCACACAAGTGGCCAGATGTGGTGGTGAAACTAGCTGTGTAGCACCAAAGAGATTTCTTATTTGCAAGGGATTTACAACAAAGCCTCTTCCATCCAAACCGAGCCAAACTGTGCTAGGATGACCTACTTTTTCTCATTGATGAGAATTCCAGTAGATTGCTGGAAGGCAAGTTGTTGAGCACAGTCAGGTGGAGATAAATAGACTAAATAAAACATCAGCCTGCAGAGGGACCAATGTAATCTTTCTTACAGCAAGAAGATGGAACAGAAATAAAAGTCAAGACACTTCCTTGGGGGGGTTTGCCACATCTTTCCAAGGAAAGCTCAGAATGTGGCTGTAAAACACAGATTCCCTACATTTTTTGTCACACTGTTTCACAGTGCCAGGATAGCAATTTGGGTCAGTCCAAACACTCACGGAAAAAAGGCAACCAAGAAGAAAGGCGCTATTGTCTTTTCCCACTCCCTGCTTTAAAAGATGAGGCACAGACCACTCCAGTCCAGGGAAAGTAAAGAGGCACACTGCTCCATCCCCAAAGCAGAAAAGACAAGTCAAACAAAGAGATCCAGGTCTATTCTGGGCATGCCCATACAGCTAGGCCCAGAAAGGCAAGGCATAGCAGCTTGGCACAAGGCTCTGCAAGTGCATTAGCCACGCTGGCTTACGATAGTGACTAGAAGCTGCAAGAGGAGCTTGAGCCTGTATGCCTCTGCACGTTCCTCACATCAGTTCCTGGGAACGTGCAGGAAAGATGCCTCTCTGTATCTCTGTAGACCCAAATACAGTGTTTTGAAAGCACTTATGCTTTTCAAAAAGAGGTACAAGCTTATATGCTAGTCATGGCAGAAAGGTCCTCCCTGGGTGCCCTGCACAGGTACAACACTTGGAGAAGAGCCTCAATGCAGACAGAAAGGGACTGAGCAGCCCCTGCCCTGCCAGGGTGCCTGCTGCACCCAGAGATGTTAATGGGTGTGCAGAGGGAAGAGACCTACAATATAGAGGGGTTCTTCCCATCCCCTTCCCCTCAGGTGATCATCTCAGCTTTATGTAAAGCTAGACACTCCTCAGGGCAAGTCTACAAAAATAGTGACATTAAAAAAAAAAAAAAATCACCCCTCAATTGCAAAGTTGCAAGCTTGTCCGGTCCTGCACATGAGCAGAGGTAAGAACTGCCAGAAAGACAAAAAAGAAAAAGCCTGCTACACTCCAAAGTACTTATATGATAAAAAAATTAAAGTAAGGAGGCTTGAAGATGATAATTTCATGAACTGAATTCCCTGAATCAAAGAATCACCACCCAAGCAGTGAAAGTCCCTGAGGGGTTCCAGCCCTCAGCTAATAAAGTTCTGCTTGGGTGGTCAAAAACACACCTGAGAACAGGAAAAAGTATTTCTCTCACACCACAAAATGGCTCCCTAGTACTATAATACAGGGCCAATTATTTTTTAGCTAACTAGTAATTTCAGAAACCTCAAGTTTTAGATAATTACTTTGAATCAATGCAAAGGGCTTGGAGAATCAGGAAGTTCCTCCTGAGAAGTCAAATTCCTTAATGGAATCTCAAAAAAAATTGGTCTCATAAGGAGCAAACCCCAAACAGTCAAGTGTAAGCATGCCAATGCCACCTGAAGTTTTTAATCATTAAGACTTTAGAATCCTGATAGTTTTAGATTCAGATCAAGACATTTTCTGGTGGATGGAAACAGTTACCTTATATTGCGTAAAAATCATCTTTAGCTGGAGAATGAGAAAATATGGAGATAAAAGCTACAAACACCATCTGCATTCAGATTTAGAGTAAAACTAGATAATTTGCAAAGGCTGCTTTAGGGTCACTGAAAGTCTTGGAATGAGTTCTATGGAGCACAATTTTAAATTGAAATACCAATTAATTTTAATACATTATTTCTTTTCACACTTTCACTCATTAGGTAAGTAAGCTTCATGTGTTAACTGCCTTAAAAAATGCTCAGTCCTTTGAAGTGTTCAACAAATAAGACAACATCCATTCTTTCATCCATCATCTTTAGAAAAAACACAGAGGGGATCTTTTAAACACAAGTTTAGCACACTTAAATCAGCTCTGAAAAGACAGTGTGGGGCACCTCCATTCCAACTCAACGTTGTGTTGGGATACAGGACTGTAGAGAGGCATACGTTAAGTAAACATAATTACAGTCACAAGAGCACATCCACATCCATCAGCCATTTGTCAGTGCGGAACAGACCTCATTCCACCCCCACACATGCCAGTTTTCCTAAGAGAGTTCTGTGGATGCTTCCCCCAAAGCAAGTCTCCAAGGCTTCCCCGCCAAGGCAATCACAGCTCTTTAGACAAGGCTAAATATCTCAAGGGATCTTTCCTCAAGCAACACAGGTCCTTCAGGTCTGCTGTCCCTTCTGTTTCTTCCTCTCATCCCCGAGTTGTATTAGCCTTTCAATTTTACAAGAAAATCACCAGAGCAGCTGCTCCCAGCTGCAGCTCACCAGTGAGGAGTGGCAACTCTGGGAGCAGGAGTGGCCATAGCTGTGCTGGAGAGACACCAAACTAGGTCCTCCCTGTGACATCGTTGCCACATACTACATATTTCAGGAGCAAAGACTGCAACCACACATTTCATCTTCCCAGGTGGGGAGCTACACATGGGTAACAGTACCACTGCAAAACATGTAAGGTTTCACCTGCTCTAAAAGCAGTGTGGGGTTAGGCTGTACCTCCATGCACTGCAAGCATGCACCCCACACAGCAGCAAGAATCAGCCAAATAGCATATGGTTACCTGTTAGGGGGAACTCTCAATAGTTCTCAAAGCTGTCATAAACAGGAGTAGGTCCCAGAATCCCTACAGCAACAGTGCTAAGACACCCTATAAACCAGCTTTTGTCCCTTCACAGCTTCTGTTACATCTTTAAGAGAGCTCAGAAAAGAACCCACCCACAAATAATAACTCTGCTTACCATCACTTCCCCCTCTGATCCTTTACCTCTCCTCACAGCTCACCCAATTATTACTATTCTCAGCCGTATCAGACGCTGTCTGGTTATGAACACATACTCATTCCAGCAGCGAAGTCACATGCCTGTAGGACTGAGTCCTTTAACAACCTGTCTGGATTCTGAGACACATCCCTTACAAACACCTGGACAAACACACTATCAGTCAATGGACCTATTGTGTGAGTTGTCAAGATACTCATCTTTATGTCTCACATTTGAGTTAGGAGTGAATTAAAGTCTTCAAAGCAGAAACTGCAATAAAGCATCAGTCACTGACATGGAAAAAATTTCCATCCTGTGCACTGTTTTCTCTGTCTGGCAGCTGAAAGATAAGAACTTTATTTTTGGCAGTCAGGATGACATCATTGGAAGAAATGAAACGGTGCCCATTAGTCCCTCCTGGACCTGGTGGCTCTTACCTGTCTTGTAGGCAAACATTTCATTGTGGAGGTGCACAGCTCTTTATTGAATAAGGCATCATTTTACAGGTAAGGAAACTGAGTCACTTGATGATGTGACCTGACATTTTAAATCCACATATCAAGGCATAACCACTCAATTTCACTGCCTTACTGAAAACTCGCCACAGGCACAACTGCTTTACGTAACCAGCCATTACTGGGAAGTGAGGAAGAGAAACAGTGCCACAGGCTTACCAAGTTCCTTACTTGAGGATATTCTAAGCTGTGCCAAACTACTGTCCATAGCACTTCAAGTCATGACAGCGTAAGCAAATCCCATATGATACAGCCTGAAGTCCCGAAAAGAATCTCCATCACCCTGCCACACTCAATTTCTAGCCCATAAACCCAACAGGAACTAAATAGCTCAGCTAGCAGCAGATACCACAGCTTTCCCTCATATTTCTCTAGCTACAGAAGAAGCCCGACTACTCCCACAGCAGCTGCACATGCACTTGTGACTTTGCAAGGAGAGAGAGAAAACAAACAGCAAAAGGGAAGATAGCTTGTTGATCTGCAAAACAGCACTAGGATGAATAAATAGGAAGTTATCATAACCAAAGAAAACCTGTCCCCCATCTCTATTCAGCCTCCAAAGGCTATACCAGCCTGTAACAGTGCTTAGAAGGCCCCAAAGACTTTGCCTCATCTGAGACCCACTGTCTTCCTAAAGTTGAATTTAATTCTAGACTTTGGAAAGAAAAGCAGGGCAGTGGGGGAACAGAGACATTGCAATATATTAGGCAAGTGAAGGATGGGCTGAACAAGCTCCTCCGTGCATCTATGGATGCACATAGATGTGCTACTGTGAAACCAAAATGATGCTTTGGCACCATCTGGTTAATACCAAAGCTACTGGCTTGAAGCTTCTTGGGACTTTCCCCACCACAGGGAACACAGCTTCCAAACTACAGATATTTCCCATGCATTTGCCTCCAAGCAAGGATACAATGTCAACAGCTTCATTTCAGTAGTGGCAAAATCAACAAGCCATGAGCAGAATACTTTGAGATGCCAGCAGGTCTGTGGCCCAGTGTTGGAGAGGCCCCATCCCCCAGTCACTTGTGATTCATCTGTTAGGCTTTTAGGAAAGATACCTTGCTTGTCAGGAACCACTTGACTGTTTAAATCCACCCTCCCTGCTACTCTCAAGCACGCTTCAGGCTGTCAGCTTTTGTTTCTCTTCCTTTCAGCTTCAGATGGGAATAATGCCACTACCCAATCACTCCAGCAGCAATAAATAAAGCAGTTTGCTCATAACACCTTTGATGCAAAAATACACTGAAACACGCCGAATACTTCCTGCTCCTAACAGTTTCAGTGTATACTTATCTTCCAGTATTCAGCGGCACTGACACTAAATGGAACACAAAGACCCAACCCCAATGGATGCTTGCCCAACCACCTCCTTAGCTGGGGCATCTTTACCTTTGCTTCTTTATGCTGCCTTAGTACAGACTGAACATCTCAGCCAGGACACCAAGTACTCTCAGCTGTGTATTTTGACTTAGAAATACATTGCACAGTTTGTTCGATGAAGATTTGTTTTTCTTTTTGAAAGAAAAACTTCATTAGAGACAACTCTAAAAAGAAGGTCTCAAATAGCCTTTTTATTAGAGATTTATTTCAGCTCCCCAAGGTCTGCTGCTTTTTCACATCATTTTTCATGACGACATGAAAAACAGCTATCTTCTAGTTATCAGGGCAGTACTTTGACTTAGTAGGAAAAACATCCAACTTCATCAACCTTTATTTTCATTTGGCTCAAAATGCTCTCTTGCCCAGCCCCTATGCAGAACATCAATGAATAAGAAGTAACACTGCTGTATTAGTAATTCTCCAAAAAAAGTAGGCAGGAACTCCGATTACTGTGGTTTCTATATCAGATCAGTGACAGAGGCAGCATGAAAACATTGTTCAGTATTCTTCAGAAGCCAGCCTACAGATGCAGCTGGGCTGAAACTGAGTCAGCAGAAAGCCTGCAGCTCAAACCACGAAAGCTTGGAGCTGGGATTTGGATTCAGCTAACTAAAGCTGGACCCAAATGGAATCTGCACATCTCCACATTTTGGGCACATCCACACCTAAGAGGAAGGAGCAAGATATGGATTGTGACTGCCACAGTGCAGCTGTTTTTTTGGACCTGGGACTGAGCTTAGTTCTTCCCCTCTGGTGTTGAGAAAAGTAACTCCAGTCAGGTAAGCCTGCCCTGCATTTCACCTCTTCATAAACGTTAAGAAAATACTTCTGCCTTTTCTAAGGACCTGGCAGGAGGAAGCAGAGCGAACCCTGATGAAAAGCCACTATAACTGTCACAAGACTGCTGGTCTTCACAGGGTTAGTTTTGCGTTCACAAGTCAAACTGTATCAGCCCAGCAGCTGCAACACAACCCTGCAGTAACATCACAGGGCATAAATCAAGCTGTTCTTGCTGTTTGCCTCTCAAAAATGACTGGAAAACAGAAAAGACTGAGGAATCACAGTTCCAGTCTTAACATTACAAAGGAAGGATAACCAGACTGAGAGCAGGGAGCTCCTCAGTAAAGTTGGTAAGTGGTAGGCACTGGAACAAATTCCAGCCATTACTGGTGATGTGCAGGTGACTGTGTCGAGCGAGAGAAATGCAAGACTTGCTTCCAGATTTAGAAGATGCCCCGCTGTGGCATCAGCACTGATACGTGCATTCTGGCATGCTTTTACAGTTGAGCAGCGACAGAGCGCTCAGTGCCTGGAGCAGAGGGGACAGTCCCGCTTATCACTTGGCAACACTGCCTCCAACAGATGCAGGTGCCACTTGGACAGGCTCTGACAAGAACTGCCAACCAAAAGACCTCAGAAAGCGAGACTGGATACAGTAACTGCCATGCCACCTAGAGGACAACAATATCCTCCTTGTTTTGAGCACATGTACTACTGTTACTGTGCACCAGCATGAGCACAGATCATCCATCCATCAGGAAGTCAGGAATGCTGCTTCATATTGCAGCTTAGATGCGTTTCACAGCTGATACCAACAGTAAGGGGGAATGCAAATCTGTCTTTTCTTTGCCTGACATGCAAGTTAAGCGAGCAAGGGAGGAAACTGATCAAAAATAAAGAAAAAAAATCAAAAGGATGGCTGTATGGGCACAGGTGGCCACTAACTCTCAGCCTCTGGTTTCCTGCAGGCCCTGTGACTACACAAGAACTCCTCTTCCAGACTCGTAAGTACCAGGAATATCTGCACTGAAAAAACCAGAAGCTATAAATATGGTCACAATGGGAAAGTTTAAATACCGGATCAGCATGGGTCCTTTGAGAATACATGTCCAAGGAACAATACATCATAAGAGAAGCTGGTCAAAGCTCCCTGTTTAGTTAAACAAGTATGCTGATGCAACAGCCAGGATGGCACTTGCAGAGCTATTAAGCAACATCTCAGAGCACAGGACAATTTACTTTAAAAAAAAAAAAAAAAAAAAAAAAAAAAAAAAAAAAAAAAAAAATCCTTTTAAAAAAACAGACCGGCTGGTACCCCCCAGAACAATTTAAGTGGAGTCTGTTCACCTTATCACACTCAGAACATTCACTCTACAGGAAAGACTTAAAACAGTTATGGAAGAAAGGGTACAGAGACAAATCTTCAGAACAGGACGCTTATCTGCTCTGAAAGCACACACAACCCTGTCTCAGTATTTGACAGCTTCTCTAAAACATGAAAATGAATTTTAAATGGGCTTCCTTCCTCCTAAACATCAAGTGTATCATAGCAGTAAACACCTCTTACATTCCTTGCTTTTATGAAGCAACCACGTACCAGTACAGGCAGCCAAAGAGATGATCCTCAGAAAGCAAGCCTGACACCAGTCCTTTGATTACACTGAACACACTGGACCTTAGGAGAATTCTCTTCCGCCATGTTGTATTTCAACCCCCTACTCCAACCATGATGGATGTGGATAAAGCCAGTGGAAAATCAAAATCGTCTTGAAGGAATCTTTTAAGACAGGCGCCCAGACATCCTCAACAACCTCAAAGAGGAAGTTGCGCATCAAACCAGGCAGCCAAAAAAAAAAAAAAACCCAATGGCAACTCAGGACAGCATTCATAGCCCTGATCAAAGCCTTTTGACAGCAGCACCTCATTAACATTGTGAGAATAGAAGAACGCATCATCTCTCTTAAACACCTTTAACACAACTCTACACAGCTTTGAAAATATCCTCTTTCAGAGAAACACGGGAGGAGCCATTCGGAAACTGTGAGAGCAGAAATACGGAACAGTTGCCTCCAGGAACACACATTTCCTGCTGCAGAGGCAAACCTACGCACTGACACAAGGTGTCTCAGCACACTGCCTCAGTCAACATTGCTTCTGGCCCTCCAGCTGTAGGTCTAAAAGACATGGTAAAAAAAGTGTCAAATTTACTAGGAGAGAACAAATGACTGTTCAAGAAATAGTGCAAACCATTTCACTTTTCAGTTTTATCTTGGAAGGAAACACAGATTAATGTTAAATCCCAGGAAGTTAATATAAAACCAAAATACAGAACTAGTTGATCTAAGTGAATTTGTTTTGTTTGGCTGTTAATCTAAGGTTGTAACAACAATTACACCAAAATACCAGGTGTTACACTGACCAAGGAACATTTTTTTTCTTCTTTAAATGAGACAAAAGAAATAGCTGAATACATTAGAGACCTGGGCATTGCCCATTCACCACAAGCTGCAGGAATACTAAGAACTGATGAAAGGTCACAGTGTTTTATCAGAAAATACAGCAGGTTCACGGACACTCAGACAGAAATTCAACATCCATGTGTACAATGATTGCACACACAGTCCAATTCCCCTGCTCATACCTTCAGTGAAGCTGAATAAAAGCTCAGAGATTTTAAAGGAAAGTGGTGAGCAAAATACTGGGGTAGGAGCAGTTTAAAGCCACGATGACACCGTCCTCTCTCGTGAGAGCATTTTGAGGATGTATTGAGGTATACAGCCCTTTCCTCACGTTCACCAGCAAGGACAGTCCAACCAAAGACCTCTGTGACCAGGAAGCACTCTTACCTCCATGCAGTGCCATACTGGTGCAAAGAGATGGGAAAGCCAGCAGACTGGATCAAGGAGCGAAGGTCCTAAGCGCCCAAGGCAGTGCTGACAATGCTCTAAGCCATGGGGCTACTGAAGGGGATGGGGCTGAAGGATTCTTAGAGCAGCTGTTGCAAAGAAGGGTGCAAAAAGACACATCAACTTGAGCAATTGCTTCAAAAGTCACGCTGGACGCAATCAATGCATGCCACCTCATCCAGGTATAAGGAGGTGTCTAACACACACCACTAGCAACTACAGGGTCCTGTTTGCTTCCCAATATAGTTGAGATAACAGCAAGATGTCAGGACTTCGCTAGACATCTGGTACAAATGAAGGCATTCACAGAAGCTTAACAGATTGCTTTCAAATGCAAAGAATGAGATTGGATGCTCTGCCTGACTCATAACACTGCCTTTTACATTTTACCCCTCCTTTCCCTATCCTTCTTTTCTGGTCTGGGTCAAAAAAAAAAAATAAAAAATCTCAGACTTGTAAAAACTCTGGGGAAGGGACCAACTATACACATTCTGCAATCATTACTAGCTAGTTTTAATTAAAGCTGAACACAGCCCCCTGCAATCCCCTCCAACTGCAAGATAAGCCATCCAAACCTAACAGGGGATCAGACTTCAAGTAGGAGTTTCACACCTTTGGCCAAGCCTTGAGTTCAACTCCCTAATTAGAAATATTTGCACTTACTTGGCTTTGCACAGCACACAGATATGAATATAATTCCAGCCCCAAATACTTTGTAATATGACATAACAAAGGCACAGCATGCTAAGAGAAAACCAGAGGAAGGCACTTTGCAAGGAAATACCAGATTTGCTGGTAAATTCCGCTCTTTCACCAGCTGAGGAACTGCTAACTGGTGGAAATGAAACCCGCTCATCTGCACTCAATTCCCTTCAGCACAGAAAACTGCAGACCAGGCTGATTCCCCTGCCCTCTAGTGCCTATTAGTTCATACCTGGCAGCCATGGGAGCTGCTTTACCAAGGAGCCAACACTTCATAGCTGCTCCTCCATCTTTACACCAGCAGTCTTTGCACCAAGCATACAAACCTGTTAAGAGTTATTGTGTCCTTACTCCGCCCCCATTTGATGGGACATAGGGAAGCCTAACTTCTAAGCACCCTGCTGTGCCAAGGAGGCCCCCAAAGGTAGCAGTTGCTAGATTAATGTGCCTGCCTGCTTCCAGATTAAACAATTCCATTCTACTACAGAAAAAAAAAAAAGTGTATCTGTTTGACCTGCCAGCTCTTCAGACTCCTGCCAAGTGTGGATGACTCCTATCACCCTGTTACACAGGATAAACACAATGCTCAGTGAATATACGCACCCACACCAGACTTCCCTAGTTATATATCACAGCTCTTACTGTTTTGGGAGCTAACAGAAATCAAAAGCCACATTGAGCACCTTTACAAGGCCTTCACATCATCCAACAGTATAGCATCCTGGTGCTGGGTACAGGTACACCTAATTCCCAAGAGCAGAGACTCCAGGTTTGCACAGGCAGCACTGGTGGAATGTAGCACACTGTTCTGCTGATGGTGCACAGTGAGAAACTGAGTTGAACTTGGTGTCTCAGCTGTACCAGCGCCAGCTGGCCTCATCTGCCTGTAAGAAATTGGGAGGGTGGGAACCCAACAAAACCACCTAACCAAAAACCAGTCCTATTTTTTCTTCCTAAATTCAGCAGATGTCACCAAATGCAAACAAGAAGGAGCAGCCAAATAAGAAGGGGAGATTTTCACACCAACCTTTCTTAGTACAGGGCAGCCTATCCAGAAGACTTACAATCAGATGTTACACTCTGTGTGTATGCAATGGAAGCTTTTTACCTTGGCTGATCCCTAAACCCTGCCAGTCAGTTACTAGTAATGACAGGTAAGAGACTTAGGAGAGAAGGCAGGAAAACGGGAAGAGATGGGCTGCAGAAATTCAAGTGAGTAACAGAGAGCTAGAATGCTTGTTTTTATACAAAACGTTCCTCCAGTGTTTTTGTGTAACATCAATCGCACAGAGGAGATCACAAGGAGTAGGTGTTGCAAAACTCTACCCTAAAGATGACTCCAAACAACATTAAACTTGTTATGTAAAGAAGTTGCCAAGGAGAGAAAAAAAATGCACAGAAACCCCCCTACTGTTTAATTAATACCTTTTTAAGATGTTGTACTTCCACAGGCAGGTGAAAACAGAGTTTCAGTCTGATTATAGTGACAGAAAGTTACAACAGAACACCAATCAGTCTTCCCCACAAGTGGACTTTTTGCAAAAAGTCCTCTGCCAAAAAAACCAAACATCTTAAAATAATTTCCTGTTGGGGAACCACCTTGCTCCTTCCTCTACGAAATGCTTTAATCATTGTGAAAAGACAACAAAACAAGCATCCTACAACCCAGATACCCCAAGAAACATTAAGAAGAGTTACCAACTTCTCCTGAAATATGGACTTTCTGGGCTAAGACTTTAGCAATTTAAATAACTCCGAGGCCTCATACCTTATTTTTTTAGTTACAGCTGTAAAATATTGTGCTTTAAAAGACAAGGACCTGCCCCCCGCAACTCACCAGTTCCCCAGCCACTGCCGCTCCAAGGTAGAGAGACCGTCACATGCCTTAGAGTGTCACATGCCTTAGAGAAACACCTTCCTAAGGAAGGGAACCTGCTCATTCGGCCCCTTTCCACTTCACACACCACCCAGCTTCCTGCTCCAGCCCTCACAGACACCCTGAGCTGAACATTGTCCTTGGGTCACAGGAAACAAAGGGGCAGCCAGGGCGCTCGCCACCTGAGCAGGCGGCCACGGACACCTACAGCTCTGCGGAAGGTGAGGAGGCTGGAGAAAAGCACACACTGAACTGAGCCTTCTGTATCAACCACCAGGTTTTCCTACCCAGTTATAGCACTGTTGTTAGAAATCCCTTCTCGCCTTGCTTTCTCGCTGTAGCTGCCACTCCCACATCCCTCCGTTGCTGGAAAGCCGAGGCAAGCACGGGTCCGTCTGGAGTTGCTGCTATTAATTAACTCCTTACTCTCCCCTGCCCAGCAAATTTCCTTCCTGCCTGGAAAACTCTCCCCACAGTCCGAGGGCGAGGTGTTGGAGTTTACCAAGCAGGACAAGGCGAGAGAGAGATCTTTTGACGGTTTATGAGATACCACCT